ACTGTGAAGAAAACTAACGCCATCCCAGCTAAAACCAGCACATCTGATTTCTTATCCAAAATTTTATAGCATTTATAATGGAGATAGGATTAAAACCTTCTTCCTTCCTTTGTTTTTCCCTCCCTCCTCCCCTTCTTTCCTTCTTTCCCTCTCCCTCTCACAATGCAGGAAGTATTAATACCTGTGAATATTTTAATACAGGCAAATATGACTAGTACATTCATGAATTCAGATCAATGTCCTCTACCTTCAACTGCATTATTTGCAGACCTTTCACAGTTAATTGCTCATTTTTTGCAATAGCGACTGGAATTTCCTCTCGAGGGTCACAAAGGCGCCTGTTCTTGAATCTGCCATTTCCTCATTGTGAAGACCACCAAAAAAAATGCAGAAGGGTCAGTAACTTTTAGATTAAATGACGCATAAAAACAAAACTAAAAAGCAGAACTAAAATCCAAATCTGCAAACTCAGTTTCAGTATTCAAATGCACTTACCCTGCCAGGAAGGGAATCCTTCTCAGCATTTCCTTTTTATTTTCTCAACATTTAGTTACAGTACAAAATTGACTTAACTATATAATGAGAAAAGCAGTTATTTCAAGTGTTACACTGAGGATAAAATGCGTGTTAACATTAATGCTACTTATTATTACTTTGTAAATGGAAGGTTATTTACCGTTTGAGAAAAAACATTTCAGAACCAAGTTAAGGTAACCACATGCATTAAATAAACAAATCAAATCAAACCTTAATTGGGCTTGGAGCTTCAAAACAGGGAAAATATCAAAGTTAAGCTAAATAAATTAAACATAAAAAATTAATCTCATTTACTGAGCAATATTTTGTCAGATTCTCTGTGGAGTCATAAATTCAGAGAAATTTAGCATGCAGATGAGAAATAAGGAGGAGGGAAGCAGGCCGATGAACTGTAGTGGGAAAGCAATCGTAAGTTAATTCAGGATGTGTTCTGCCTAATGCTGATGAAGATCTAAATGAGAGCTCTTTAAACCGTACGTGTAGAACCAAGTCCTGGTGTGATTCACATTCTAACTCATACGGCAGATCTCATACGCCCTGCTGAAATACATAAAGCTCGCTTTGGATAGTGATGGAAGCTCAATTTGGTTCCCTGTTTTTTTTAGAAATTTTGGTCAGAGTGCCAGAGTTAGGCAGCAATGCTTTGTAAAGTCTAATGCCAACAGGCAGACTCCCTTGTTTGCTGTTCCTTCAATGCCTGAAAAATAAACCACAGTGCAACAATAGGATAAAAACACCAACTATGGAACTGACAGCCAAGAAAATACAGCAAGAGGATTTGCCGTTGTCTGCTTAGACTTATAAGAGTATCATAGAATGGTTTGGCTTTAAAAGGACCTTTGAAGATCATCTAGTTCGAATATGAACATCAGTTCATGTTGGAATCAGTTCAATCATTAACTGACTGCGCTGGTTTCTAGTCTGCAGTATTAATAACAAATATTGTACTCTGCAGCATTACAAAATAAACCTGTAGCCTCCCTTTCTATTTCCATAACATCAGTAGAAGCTCAACTTTTCCGGTATCCTGATGGGTATCTCTGGAAGAACGGGTTGAAGATAGGAGCTTCTATTTGGTTTGACAGGAGTTGAGAATACTTTGCCGCTTCAAGAACTGGGCCACTCATGAGCAAAACTTCATGCACTAATTTTCAGCGCAAAGCTGCTTCAGTGGCTCTCAGAAGGGTATGCAAAATTAAATGTTGCAAGATGAGGCTCTGATCCAAGCTACTATTTCCCTGGGAAGAGGGAGGAAAGAACAGAAACAGAAATGTGACGCAGGCAGGGAAGAGTCTGCAGAATTGGGCTCCGATGGCTGTCCCTGGGACAGCTGGAGTGCAGCCTCCTACCCTACCCTACCCCATCCCATCATGGTAGTACCTGCTACCCCACACAACTAGACTGTTTTCTTGTGACAGCAGCCGTATGCAGTCCAGCCTTCCCAGGTCCTAGAAGAAGCAAATTTGAAGCAGAACATTGCTGTTTGGGCAGTTCAGAGAAGTCTGCAGCCTGAGGGGCCGCTGCTGTTCTCTAAGACTAAAATAAGCCTGGCCTCACCCATTTAACCAAATCAGTCATTTGGTGAAGTACACGTGCCTTATTTTAACAGTAAAGCCCGAGAAACAGGCTGTTTGGTCAGTCCTGAAAGCCATGAAAAGAGCTCAGTGATTTTGCAAAGGGAGGGATGTCTGCAGAAGAACTACTGTTGGACATGCTCTGTGGCCAGGACCAAAGATGTCTTGCAGATAGGAGGCTGGTGTGCTTTCCCAGTTCGCCTTGTGGGTTGTGAGCAAGACGCAGATCACTGAGAGCTGTATATTTGCACTGAAAAGCAACTAGAAGGCAAGGCGGTGCATAATGCACTCCAGCATGATTTGTTCAGCGTCCTTTGCACAGACATATAAATTGCATTTCTGTACACAGTCTATTTTGGTGATATTGGCATGAGGATTTACTTCGCTTACTTGTTGACTGGAAGTTCAGTCCTGCACGGGGAGCTGCAGGCAGTTTGTTAGTAGGCAGAGCATCTCTTCGCATCTGGCGAGAAGAAAAATTGTGCAATGATTCTGCGCCACATCCTCTGCTACATTTTGCAGATTTTGGATGCATTTTGGAGTCACTGTACAAGAGATAAGCAGATGAGTTGTGGAGGGCTCTGAAATTCACAGTAATGTTTCTCCTAGATGCTGATTGCTGCAAGATGGTCAAGTATTTTTGCTGACCAGAGCAGCATCAGTTCTTGCACAATAACTGCTGGGTACAGTAATGGAGAAAGATAGTAAAAATTTGCTAACTGTGTCTCACTTCCTACTTGAAAATGTTGTTCTTGACTCTTTTATGCAGAGGTTACTTTCGTTCTAGCTTTTATAGTTACAGTTATTCCCACTGTAAAGCTACTTTAGGATAAAAGCTGTGTAAATGGAGGGTCAGCCGGCCTCTCGGTTTTGAACGTTATGCCCTCATCTCTGTAAGAGTGGCAACGGGCCCGATGCCCATCCACACCCAGAGTTTCCAGAGACACCCATGAGACAACACTAAAACGCATCTTTTTGCTACCATCCATAAGCCCATTTTTCATTTAAAATTCAGCGAAACGATAATTTACCGTCAGCTGAGCCCACAGCCTATACTTCTCACTTTCATGAGCCCGTACCAGCAACAACCCGCTGGGAAATGAAGCAAATCTGTTGCACCATCCAACATGGCCCGCCGTCCTGCCCCCGCAGCGGGCTTTTGGAAGGGCATCCATCTGGCAGCAGAGCGGCTGGAGGCAGGCAGGACTTTTTGGTCTACCCTGCCGAACTGGGGAGAAAGCCTGGAGCCTTTGTTCTACCTCAGGCGAGACCACGACGTTTCTAAGGAGCGAGGAGCTGACACCTCAACCTTTCCGCCCGCCGCGGCAGCGGCTGCCCGGGCTACC